ATATGATACATCACCTTTAACCATCACAAGCTCCAAACACTATTTGGCTGAAACATTTTCAGAACAATGGCATGTGAGGCAAGGGAGCTTCACATGGGGGCTCCCTGGTGTCATGTACCCTTTTTAACCCTCAGAGGGTCATCCCCCTGGGTGAGAAGTTGGGAAGAAACCCTCCATGTCACATGATTCTCCTTACTGGCTTTGAAGTACCGTGTTTTTTTTTTTTTTTTTTTTTTTTTTTTTTTTTTTTTTTTTGAGATGGAGGAGTTTCGCTCTTGTTGCCCAGGCTGGAGTGCAATGGTGCGATCTTGGCTCATCGCAACCTCTGCCTCCTGGGTTCAAGCAATTCTCGTGCCTCAGCTTCCTGAGTAGCTGGGATTACAGGCATGAGCCACCACGCCTGGCTAATTTTGTATTTTTAGTAGAGATGGGGTTTCTCCATGTTGGTCAGGCTGGCCTCGAACTCCTGACCTTGAGTGATCTGCCCACCTCGGCCTCCCAAACCTTTAAGTACTATTTTTTAAGTGCTGAGTTGGTTTCTTTTTGTTGCATTTTCAAGTACTGACTTGTGACTATCTTCCTGTGTCTCCCCACCACTCCCACTAACATGCTCACAAGTTCCTCCTTCTGTAGTTCTCCCAGGTCTTCCCAAAAGTCATTATATCACTGTGCCGACTTCATTAATAATTCAGAAGAAGACAATCTAATTAAAGAAAATCATGAAGTCAATAAATGACCAATGAAGACCATGGACACTGGAACAAAACTGGGTTCAGGTTTCAATTCTACTACCTGTGTGACTTTGGTTACATGACTTGCAATGCTCCTGAACCTCAGTTTCCTCATCTGTAAGATGGGGATAATAATTATAACTCCTTTTCTAAAAGGTTGACTTGGGGCACTTTGAACACTGATTTGAGCACTTAGTAACTGCACTGCTTAACTATTACAAAGCTGAGGGCTATCTATGGTATGGGGAAAATGTTTTTGAACATGGTCTTCCTGTATTACCTAAACTGTGTAAGACAAAGTAAAGAAGCGCCTTGAGCCTTTTTGTCCAATAATAGTTTATGTTTATAATTTTTTTTTTGAGATGGGCTCTTACTCTGTCATGCAGGCTGGAGTGCAGTGGCATGAACACAGCTAAACACCTTGGGTTTAAGCCATCCTGGCAGCTCAGCCTCCTGAGTACATGGGACTACAGATATGTGTCAGCGTGCCTGGCTAATTTTTTTTTTTTTTTTTTTTTTTGTAGACATAGGGTCTTGCCACATTGCCCAGGCTGGTTTTGACTTCCTGGGCTCAAGCAATCCTCCTGCCTTTGTCTCTCAAAGTGCTGGGAGTACAGGTATGAGTCACTGCATCCCGCCAGATAGTGGGAATTTTATATCCTCCTTCTTCACACATTCCAGGGTAATAAGAAATCAGAGTTTGATACTATGGAGAATTACAAAATAATTCACTCCTAAAACATTTAATCACACAAACAAAAGAGGGCAAGAAAATACTATTTACCAAATGCATTCTATATGCCAGTCCACATACATTGTCTCATTTAAGGCTCATTTAGAAAGGAGGAAACTCTAAGGCTTAAGATTTAAGTAACCTTCCCCATTATAGAGCAGAATAAGAGATTTCCAACGTTAAAGCTAAAACTCTGGCTGGCTACACTATGATGCTTCCCTTACAAGGATCAGACCTTGACCTATTTCTTGCAGGCTACTGGCTTCTGAATTATCTAAAATTATTTTTCACATATCTGAGAAATGCTCTTATTTCTCTTACTTCACAAAATTGAATTCTTAATTCTGTAATTAAGGACATTCAGGACCTTCAACGAAGGGTAATTGTGCCATGGACAGGAGACTTGAATTGCACATGCTTGAAATATAAAGCTTTAGAACTAATGGGAAAATAGAAGCCTGAAGTTCTTGATTTTCCATTTGCTTTCCACTGTTTCTAAACTAAACCACTGTTTACAAAGAATGTGTCAGTGAAAGATGCAGGAAAAGATGCTTCTTTTTCTTTATTTCTAGATTCAAGTAAATATTTGTTAACAACATGGTTGATATGGTTTGGATCTGTTTCCCCACCCACATCTCATGTTGAATGGTGACCCTCAGTGTTAGAGGTGGGACCTGGTGGGAGGTGACTGGCTCCTGAGGCAATTTCTTATGAATGGTTTAGCACCATCTCCCTAAGCTGTCCTGATGATACTGAGTGAGATCTCATGAAATGTGTTCGTCTAAAAGTGTATAGCACCTTCCTGCTCATTTCCTTCCTCCTGTCTGCTTCCCCTTCACTTTCTTCCGGGATTATAAGTTTCCTGAGGCCTCCCCAGAAGCTGATCCCATCATGGTTCCTGTACAGCCTGCAGAATGATGAGCCAATTAAGCCTTTTTTCTTTATAAATTACCCAGTCTCAGGCTCTTTTTAGAAATGTGAGAACAGACTAATACAATAGTTTACAAAGTAAGTTGAAGAAGCTGAAAAATAAGTTCAAGAAGCCCTATGAAATGATTTAGATGAGTAAGATTGCAAAGATAGAATTCATCACAGTAAAGATTCTCATGGCCAATTCATTCTTGGTTATGGCTTCAAACTTCTACTTTAACAGAAAAATCCATTCACCTACCCAAAGTTTCAACCAACTATCTGTCCAACACATATTTAGTAAATAGAGACCCACTACATGCTAGGTGCTGTTCTAGGTGCTGAGATAAAGCAGAATGAGGGTTTTAAGGTTGTAATAATCTAATAAACAAGTGAAAAAAAGCAAACTGGTTTCAGATGCTGATAGGTGCCGTGAATAAAATATACTGAAAGGATATAATAGGATTTAGGAGATCTGAGGTAGGATATCAGGGAAGATCTTTCTTAACAGAGGGCATTGGACTTGAGATCTGAATGAGGAAGAGCTAGATCTTTCCAAAGCAGAAAAAAGAACTCCCACGCATGGAAAATTCTAACAATTCAAAGGTACAAGGTCAGAAAGAAGGCAGATGGCTGACTCCAGAGTAATGGTGTGAGGCAAGATCAGAAACATGGATAGGACTTGCACTATTAAAAGAAGCTTGATTGAAGGAGTCTGAATCATAAGCAAAGTACAATGGAATCATTTCAGGTTCTAAGCAGGAGGTAATATGATTTGAGACAGCTTTAAAAACATTAATCCAGATGCTCATTCAAGAATTACTTATAGGCTGGTTTTGGTGGCTCAGGCCTGTGATCTCAGTACTTTGGGAGGCCTAGACAGGAGGATCCTTTGGCCTCAGGAGTTTGAGACCAGTCTGGACAATATAGTGAGAACTCATCTCTACAAAAAAATAAATAAAATAAGTAAATAAAATAAAGTAAAAATTTGTGAGGTGTAGTGGTGGGGACCTATAGTACCAGCTACTCTGGAAGCTGAGGTGATAGAATCACTTGAGTCCAGGAGACAGAGGTTGCAGTGGGTGGCGATTATGCCACTGCACTCCAGCCTGGGTGACAGAGTGAGATCCCTTCAGAAAACAACAGCAACAACAACAAAGAATGACTTACAGAGGGGCAAGAGTGGAGGGAAGGGACTAGTTAGGGTGAGAATGCAGTGACTGAAGATAAAAAAGACTCTAAAGACTCGTAACAAATGGCTTTAATGGTTAAAGAGAGTTCATTGGGGAATGAAAGCTGAATTTATTTTAATAACGTCTCCATTTATGGCAACATATCTGCTACAAAGTCGATTATTTTATTGTTATTTGGTCAGAGGTAGTGTGGCTGTGGATTAGCAATTATATATAACTCAATTGCACATTAAAAAGGCATTTTATTGTTGCTGCAAGAAACCACTATGCAGGGCTTTTGGTCCTCCCTAAACGAGAGAAACCGTATCTAGGAAATTAATTCTTCCCTCTGGCCCAAATGCAAAATTGCAGAAACCATTTGCTAAATGTGGCCAGCCATTCTTAAGAGCCCAGAGAGTCTTTTTTCAGGCATACTTTATTAGAGGACATTTATCAGTTTCTATCGATTATTAGCGATAATTGAACGGAAATCTGCGACTATGGCTATTTATTGGCATTTGCGTTCGGCTCAGACAGAAGCTAGTTTTGAAAGTGGTAACCGTAGAGTAATCTCCCTTGCAAACTTCCTTTCTTAGGGGCGGTGGTGGAGCGCTGAGGGGTTGAGGGGGTGTCAGCCACCTGGGCTTTCTGCTCATAAATCAGCATCGTCAAACACCCTGAAAGTGTTATGATGGCGCTGAATTCAGATAAAGGGTTCTCAAGGCAGATATATTGTCCTCATTCCTGGTGGCAGAGGGTAGTGACAAGAGGCTCACACGTCGCTGAGTAGTAGCGCGGCACAATAAAGTGTGGTTTGCACCATGTGTGCCACAGATTTCTCGGGTTTTCTGGAAGGTTTTTCCAAGTTCCGCCTTCTCCCATTCGCAGCCATCCTGGCCCCAGCTGTGCAACGGCCTTTGACTCCATCTGTCATTCCGCTGCGGACGGGAGTCCCTCTCGCCAAATGGAGAACACAAGTTTGGCACCCCAAAGTGATGATAACCCCCACCTTCTCGGCTGAGCCCAGGCCAAGCGTCAGGCCTGCTAAGGGACGGTCAAAGGGATGGAGGGCGAGGCCGCAGAGAGGCCGCTCCCATCACCCATCACTACTGGGCACGCCAAGCCCGTGCAGACGCCCCGCCTGCGGGTCCCCCACCCGCCCCGCGGTGCAAGTCTCCCAGGGCTTCTGCATTTGCTCTTCTTCCGCCCTGCTGCAGAGCCGCGGCTCGCAGGTTGGAGTTTGCCCTCGTATGCGCAGCGTCACACGGCGGGGAGGGGAAGGGAGTCGGCGGAGGCTGGGTCGGAGCCGGAGTCCCGCGGTCCCCGGCGCGGAGAGACGCCACGGGGAGCGACCGCCCCGCCCCCGGAGCAGCAGACACCACCGCAGCCCTCCTTCCCTCGCTCCCTCCCTCCCTCTCTCCACCCCGCGCCCTGATTCCCGGCCTCCCCACCCTTCTCCACCCCCTCCTCCGGCCAGATCCCCATCCTCTCCTTGTGTGTGCGCCCTTCAAATAATCTCCTCCTTTCTGGCAAAAGAAATAATGCACCTGACTTTACTAGGGGGGAACAACCAGCCGAGTAGAACAAGGAACAGATGTAAAAGGAATAAAAGGAGAGAGAAAAAGAGATGAGACACTTTTAAAGAAATCCAGGGGCTGAAGAGGTGGCTGCCGCGGCAGAGGCAGCTAGAGCTTCCCTGTCTGCGTGAGCTGCAGGCAGAGGAGGACGCTTTCACCAGTTGCAGATGTAACCTCGGGAACTCCTGGGTCCCTCGGTTTATTTGCCAAACAAAGTCTTTTCTTCTTTGGCTCAGACACTTAAGAGGCTCCTGGACTTTTCTGCAATCCTGCCACAAGCTGGCAGTTACCGGAGAGCCTTCCCAGGAGCTGGCGGAGAAATGAGCCCTTGTGGGCGGAAGATGGGCGAAGGGCGTCAGCAGCTGGGGGCTCCCGTCGGGAAGCCCCTTCGGCTCCGGGTGAGGAGAGAGACACCCCGCGGCCTGCCAGGCAGCAGCGGCACCTGGACTCAGCGCTCCCTGCTAGGGCTCTTGGTGCACATGTGGCTGTGGGCGGCCTCGGGCTCGTCTGCTCAGTTGTTCAACCTCACCCTTTCCGTGGATGAGGGGCTTCCCCCGGACACGCTGGTCGGTGACATCCGCGCGGGGCTGCCGGCCGCGCAGCAGGAGGGGAGCGGCTTCTTTCTGTCGGAGGATTCGGATGACTCGCCGCTGCTGGACGACTTCCACGTGCATCCGGACACCGGCATTATCCGCACTGCGCGGCGCCTGGACCGCGAGCGGCGGGACCGCTACAGCTTCGTGGCCGCCACGCTACTGGGCGCCGTGGTGCAGGTGGAGATCCGCGTCAACGACGTGAATGACCACTCGCCCCGCTTTCCCCTCGACTCCCTGCAGCTAGACGTCTCCGAGCTCAGCCCGCCGGGGACCGCCTTCCGCCTGCCAGGTGCCCAGGATCCCGACGCCGGGCTGTTCAGCACTCAGGGATACACCCTGGTGCTACCGTCCGACCTTCCCGAGGACCCCGCAGGCCCGTTCTTCGAGTTGCGCTACGGGGCTCCGGGGCCACTACCGTCACCGCTTTTGCCAGGCTCCTCGTCGCCGCTGGAGCCACTAGACCTGGTGCTGCTGCGGCGCCTGGACCGAGAGAAGGCGGCGGCGCACCGGCTGCAGATCGACGCATGGGACGGCGGCCGCCCGCGGCGAACAGGCAGCCTGCGCGTGGAGCTGCGCGTGCTGGACGAAAACGACAACCCGCCGGTCTTTGAGCAGGAAGAGTACCGCGCTGCGGTGCGCGAGGACGCCCCGCCGGGCGCGGAAGTCTGCCGCGTGCGCGCCACCGACCGCGACCTGGGGCCCAACGGTTTCGTGCGCTACAGCGTCCGCGCCCGGCAAGTGCCCGGGGCTGGGAGCGGCGGCGGGGCCCTGGGCGACGCGGCCTACTTCGCCGTGGAGGAGCTGAGCGGCGTGGTGCGAGTGCGGAGACCTCTGGACCGCGAGGCGCAGGCCTGGCACCAGCTGGTGGTGGAGGCCCGCGATGGAGGCGCCGAGCCTGAGGTTGCCACGGTGCGCGTGTCCATCGCCGTGCTGGACGTGAATGACAACCGGCCAGCCATTCACGTGCTCTTCCTCACAGAGGAAGGCGTCGCCCGCGTCTCTGAAGGCGCCCGACCCGGCGACTACGTGGCTCGCTTCTCGGTGTCCGATGCGGACGGTGACTGGGAGGAGAAAGACGAGGCCGCGGGGGAGCTTGGTGTGGGTCTTGGAGATGCGAGCATCTCTCTGTCCTTGGAAGGCGGAGAGGGAGCCTTCGCGTTGCGGCCCGGCGGCCCCCCAGGGGTATTTTTCCTTTGCGTCGAGGGGCCCCTGGACAGAGAGAGCCGCGATCTGTACGAGTTACGACTGGTGGCCACGGATGCGGGCTCCCCGCCGCTGAGCACCGAGGAGACGCTGCTACTCCGGGTCGCCGACCTCAACGACCAACCACCTCTCTTCAGCCAACAGCATTACAAGGCCTCAGTGTCCGAGGCCGCGGCCCCTGGCACTGTAGTCCTGTGGGTCAGCGCCTCCGATGCCGACGAGGCAGGCACCGATCACGCCTGGCTACGCTACACACTAGTCCAACTCTCGGCTCCCTGCAATCCAGAGGCTTTGCCCACCGCAGAGTGTGGACCATCTTTCACCATTGATCCCGAAAGTGGTGCCATAAGCACCCTCCGGACTCTAGACCGAGAGGTCCAGGAGGCGGTGGAGCTGAGAGTGGTGGCCCAGGACCTCGGAGAGCCCTCGCTCTCTGCCACCAGCTTGGTGAGCATCACCGTGGATGATGTGAATGACAACGAGCCCATCTTCTGGAGGCAGGTGTACAATGCCACCCTTGCAGAGCATGCTCCAGTTGGACACTGCTTTCTGCAGGTGAGTGCATCAGGCCTGTGGGCTAACCTGAAGGCTTGGGAAGGGATGTAGAGGGTTGTGAGTAGGCCTAGGAAATTGTGATGTGGATAATATTCTGGCTCTCAAATACGACACTGGCTGTAGTTCCCTCTCTACAGTGAGATGACTGTATGCCCTCTAGTTACCTAACTTTTATTGCCAGGGTCTTGGCTGCATGATCTCTAACGTCCTTTCAACTTGACTTTTAGATCTTGATTTATCTTATGGAAGCCTGATTTCTTTCATGCTGGATGTGCGTACCTAAACAGGTTCAGGAGGAACCACCCACTCTAAGTCAGACGTCTTCCAATTGACAATGTCTCATATATACATATAGTCAGGGTCTCACTCTGTCATCCAGGCTGGAGTGCAGTGGCACAATCTTTGGCTCACTGCAACCTCCATTTCCCAGGCTCAAGCGATTCTCCTGCCTGGCACCACATCTGGCTAATTTTTGTATTTTTTAAGTAGAGATGGTATTTCACTATGTTTGCCAGGCTGGTCCCGAACTCCTTGCCTCAGGTGATCCACCCACCTCGGCCTCCCAAAGTTCGGGGATTACAGGCATGAAGCCATCATGCCCAGCAATGTCTCATATTTTTTAAGCAGCTTTATGAGGCAACCTAGGGAATAAGGTAGTTCATAAGTCAGTCTTTCAAATGACCAAAGTGTATGTCTTTAAACACTGACAGTTTTAAGTTACCATTTCCAGAGACTTCCACATTTTCCTACCTTCCTTCAAAGCTTACAAAGTTTGGATGAAGACTGAAGTCATCTTTATTAGTGTCAGTTGTGAGCTGAGCACCTTCCATGATGCTTTCAGGACTCTGAGGGGCCGTGGGGCCCAATTATCTTTATAAAATGGGGCACTGTACCCTGCTTTTTGATTTGGGCATGTTGCCTTTTATAGTTTTCTCGATCTCTCTGTCGCTTTCAGAATGGCATGTTTTGCCCCTTTTCAGGCCATTCCTTTTTGTGCTTTCAATTTCCTATTTGTTTCTTTTTTATTTTTTTATTTGTGGGAGGGTCTTGCTTTGTGGCTCACGATGGAGTACAGTGGCACGATCCTGGTTCACTGAAGCCTGGACCTCCCAGGGTAAAGTGATTCTCCCACCTCAGTCTCCCAAGTAGCTGTGAGCACAGGCACACGCCAATATGACTGGCTAATCTTTAAATAATTTGTAGGGATGAGTTCTCGCTGTGCTGCCCAAGCTGGTCTCAAACTCCTGGGCTCAACTCTGCCTCAGCCTCCCAAAGTGCTGAGATTATAGGCATAAGCCACCGTGCCTGGCCAATTTCCTATTTGATGGGAGATAATCAAATTTCCAAGATTGATATATTTACTCTGAAATAACTTGAGTAAAGAAATCCAGCCTGAAGAGCTTACCAGGGAAAGAAGCTCAAAAGCTTTATTTTGCTCTCAGCCTGGGTTGTTTTAAGGCATTTGCTGCTTACTCTCTTGTTCTGACGGAGTTGAGGCTTTAGATTTGCAAATTATGTCTGACATAATAACTTTTAGGTAAGTGAGGTGCTACTGCAAAGTAACAATGGGTCTCGTGACAGCTTCCACCATTTAAATCTTTTGGGTATATGGGTGGTAATAATCTCCATCCCTTTCTCTAGAGTGATTGACAACTCTGAGTTGCTAGATTATTAAAAAGTGGCTTGATATGAATGAATGCTGGCTGATGAAACAGACAAATCCACAAATAGTAGTGACTAACATTGTCAAAGTATGTTTCTCTCTCAAGCAGACTCTGGTGTGATGCAGCTTGGCTGTTTCTCCTTTTTCTGAGAAAGTCAGGCCTGGGAGTGACTTATACAACTTCCACCAATGTGGCATCAGCCAGAGCTCAGCCATGCAGCCTCACATGTACTACAGAGGAGGCTGAGAAACGTAGAGGAGCCTGGGTACACCAGTGCCCAGTGATAGTTTCTTCCATGGATTTCTAAAAATGAAAGCCATAATAGGTGAGAGGTTGGACTGGATGACTTCCAAGACTCCTTTTACCTGGAACACCCTGAAGATCTTGGTATGAACAGTACAACTTGGCTCCATTGGAAGGAAAATAAGCAGGGTGGATTAATTATGACTCTTCTGATTAAAACCTGCCTTTAGAGTTGTTTCTAACACTGTGAGAAGATTCTTCTATGAGGTGTGAGTTTATCCCGTTGTTACGACTCCATATGTGGTAGATCCATTATGGTGAGCTGAGCTTGGCTAACACATAGGACTGCACCTCCAATGATTGCAACAAACCTTTCCAGGTTGCCAAGTATTGCTGCAGACAGCATTCAATTGTGCTGACTAGAGTTTCTGGAAATTCCAGCGATGTAGCCCCTCAAGATTTGCAAAAGCCTCTTAGTCACTGGGCTCTCTGGTGGCCTCTCCAATGCAGCTTCATGAACGTTTTGTGTTCCATGAGCCCCGCAGCTGACTTCCTCCCTAATTTCCAGATGAGCTTCTCAGAAGCGTCTTCTTTCTTTCTGTTCTCTCAATCTTTCTTTATGCCACTTTGCAAAAACTAACTCCCCATCTTGCCTTTGAAACTCATGACTCCTCCTTCATTCCAGGGCTTTGCTTAATGACATCACATACATTCCTTGTAACTGTAATTTCTTTCTGTTGCTGTCTAGAAGTTTTCCTCCTTTACCTCATATCTGCTCAAGTTGCCTTTATTAAAACCAAACAAAAACAAATGAAAATCAAGAAAAACAAAATCTTTCCTAGATTTCCTGTAAGAGAACACCGTGTCATCTGATAACAACAACAAACCCTTGAACCTCAAGTTGTCTTAGTGGTTATTTCACATCCCCAGTGCTTGGGATCTTTCCACTCTAGTTGCTGCTCCTGCTGCCACCGTGGTTTCGGCCACCCTCCCCACTCTGAGTGCTGGCTGAACTCTTATATTCTTATGCCCAGACTAAACCTTTCAAAACGCTTTAAGTGTGAGGCAGAACTGAAAGAATTAACACAAATGACAAGAACCCTTAGCAAACTGAGATAGGTAACCTCTAGCTGCAAAAGGTTTTTACAGCATTGTAAGCACTTGTCTGGACTTCTTAATAACTCAGTTCCTGCCTGTCTTGGGTGGAGAGCCTCTTCTTAACAATCCACCCCTCAGGAGTTCCTTTCAATCTCTTGCTGCCTTCTTGGTCAAGGCAGAGAGAGAATTCTACTCTGCAGACACTCAGAGATTTTTCCTCCAGTTCTCTTGTTTGGTCTGAAGGATTCCATTTTCATTCAGATAACTGTCAAAAAGATTAACTTCAACCTCTAGACAAGATCTCCACCCTGCACCCTACAGGATGTCTGAAGATGTGAGCTGCATTCACAGCTTTTATCTTATAACCAGATCTTAGTTTGTACAGTATAACTCCAGCATTGAGACCTGAATTACATGTAATAACATGAAGAGTAGTCTTTCATACTCCCTCAAATACAAGTACTATATTCATTAATTCATTTATTTATCCAAACAACAACATTTGTTGAAATAAATAACATTGATTGAATTCAACAACATCCAACCAACAAATAATTATTGAGTATCTATTACATGCCAGGAACTGTTCTTGGTGCTGGGGACAGCGATGAGCAAAATGGGCAAGGTGCTTGCTAGCAGGGCTTACAGTGCTGTTCTCCATCTCCTTCCCTTCTCTGTCAGTCCTTGTGAATGAGTAACATGTGCCCGGCTCCCACTTGCTGATCACCCCTACTCCATGTGTTCTGACTTTCTCCCATCACTGTACTAAATTCTGCCTCTCAAGAGGCGTGTGTCTGGTTCTTCCAAATCCAATAGGTTTTTCTTAGTCATAACCTCCCTCATGCCCTCTGAATCATTTTGGACTGTTACCCACTTCCTCTTTCTCGCATGCGTCTTTCTCACTGCCGTTGTCTCCTTACATTCTCTTTCTGCCTCTCTTGCTCATTCCTCTTTTTCCTTTATTCTCTTGTGCCACCCCACACTCAACGTGGTAGAGGCATTTCCAAAGGCTCTGTTTTCCTCTCACTCCTTGCCTTTCTATTCTCTCTTCCTGTGTATTCCTGGAAGTTCATTTAAAAAAAATCTCCAGGGTCAACCTCCCTCATAAGCTTCTGGTTAGCACTTCCTCTTCCTGGTATGTGTCTTTACCTGGATTTTGGCACTGCTAATCTAACACTTTTCAAATTGAACTAATTTCCCTTCTACCATTTTTTTTTTCATTGTATAGAGTTTCTTGGAGTCTTTTATTCAGTTTCTCAGTTACTATTCTTTGGAATCTTTTATTGAGACAGTATGGAATGAGAGGGCATTGGACTTGGAATCAGAAAACCTTGGCTCCAATTCTGACTCTGCTATTTGCGATCTTGATTAACGTCTCTAGCCCTAGTTCCTCATCGATAGCATGTTATAATTCTGTTTAACACCACGTGAATCAGGAATCTAAGGATTGGAGATAACTGATGTTTCGTGGGAAAAAGTGCTACACAGGGCTTTATAGGCTTGGAAAATTTTCTTTATTCAGTAGATCAGGGGATTCTCTGTTGTATCCATTTTTATTTACAGTGGATGTATTCCACTGTAGCTGCACATTTTGTGTGTATGTACAAATGTGTAATGCATTTCTAGGTATGATCATCTTCAAAAGGGAACCACTTAGGATGGACTACAGAAAGTTGTGATCAGCAAGATTTCCCTTCTCTGAGGATTGAAATCTTACTAAATTAATTTCATTAACAACCAAACTCCAGGCATCTATTAATGGTTCCCTCACCTTTTAAATTATAAATTAAAAGTGAGCAACTGTGAAAGTAATTTATACTTTCATAGCCCATTAGGGAAATTTTGCTAAATCATTTTTACAAATGCCAGGTTATTTGAATCTTAATGAATTAAAATCTTCATTTAGTTAAAATCTATGCATTGTAATGAAAGTAGATAAGGTAAATATAATCAGAAATATGAATTATTGAAAATCTATTGAATCTCTGGGGATAG